GAAAACTCCAGGTGTCAAACCTTATCAGAGTTGCAGTCGCAAGCCGGAACAAGGGAGTTATAGTTGGAGAACTAGAGGAGAGAAAAGAGGCAAACCCTAGTGCATTCGTAGTCGGCGACTAAGCGGTTCAAACCCACTGAATCGAGATCGGGAGGAGAAAGAGGTCGTACTTGCATTAAGTACGTGAAGACTCATGAGGATCACTGTCGGGGAGGGTACGAGTGCCATAAATATAGGAAAGAGGGGCACTATGTTAGGGATTGTCCGCAACGTATGCATGTTTGCTTCAACTCTAATCAGATGGGGAATGTGAATGTAGATTGTCTACAACTTATAGCTAGACTAGTGCAAGCTCCAACTCGTGCGACATTGCGGATTAATGACGACTGCCAGGGGAGATATGAGGCCCCTAAGGCCATGGTTCGGACCTATCAGCAGACACCAAAGGAGGCTAGGGCAAAGCCTGATTTTGTTACTGGTTTGTACATATTTATCTTTAGGTTGAATATTCCTTATTGCATGCTTATGTTTATGTGTCTTCTTAGGTACGTTTCTAGTTAACTCATTACCATCTTTAATATTGTTCAACTCATGGGAAATTAAGTCCTTTTTATCTCCTTCTTTTAGTATAGGTTTTCATGTTGCTCTTAGAGCTTTGGATTGCCCGTTGGAGGTTGCTATCACTGACAACCGTACTTTTTCAGCTTCGATTGTTTACAGCAGTTGCGTGTTAGAAATTTTTAATGTGGAGTTTCCAATTGACCTAGTCCTCATTCCAATGGGTGATGTTAGTGTGATTGCGGGAATGGATTGGTTAAGCTAGTTCGGCACCATGATTGATTGCAAGCAACAGTTAGTGGTGGTCCGTACTCTATGTGGGGCAAAGTTAACCATATATGGAGAAAGCACCAAAGTTGATTTTGTTTTTTGCTCTGCTGCAAGGGCTATGAGATACTTACAACATGGTTGTTTGGAATATCATGCATATGTTGTAGACATGCAAGAAGAAAAGAAGAGATCAATTTTCGATATGCCTATGGCCTACGAGTTTCTAGATATGTTCCCAGTGGATTTGTATGGGGTGCCTCTGGAGAGGTAGGTTAATTTCAGGATCGATATGATCCATGGTTCATCTCTGATTACCAAGGCGTCATACCGACTTGCACTACCTGAGATGTAGGGGTTATCCTCATAGCTTCTGGAGCTTTTGGGTAAGGAGTTTATCTGACCAAGTAGTTCGCATTGGGGAGCATTGATTCTGTTTGTCAAGAAGAAGGATGGTTTTGACCGGATGTGCATAGGCTATAGGGAGATGTACAAGCTGGCAGTGAAGAACCGTTGTCCACTTTCGAGGATTGGTGACTTATTTGATCAACTTTTGGGTGCATCTTGGTTTTCCAAGATTGATTTGAGGCAGGATACCATTAGATGAGGGTTAGAGAAGATAATATCCATAAGATGATCTTTTGGACTCGTTATGGTCATCATGAGTTCGCGATGATGCCATTTGGGCTTACCAATGCACCAACAGAGTTCATGGATCTAATGAACAGGGTGTGTAGGCCAATGCTTGTCTGGTCTGTGATTGTATTTATTGATGATATCTTGTTGTATTCTAAGACCAAGGAGCAGCATGTAGAGAATTTGTGGGAGGTTCTTAAGGTTTTGAGGAAGTAGAGGTTGGATGCCAAGTTCTCTAAGTGTGAGTTTTGGTTGTTTGAGGTTCAGTTTATGGGACATGTCGTGAATCAAGACAATATTCTAGTCAACCCCACCAAGATAGAGGTAGTGATGCAGTGGGAAGTTTTGATGACTCCATCTGAGATTCAAAGTTTCCTTGGGTTAGCAGGTTATTACAGGAGATTTATCCAAGATTTCTCCAAGATTGAAATTCCCCTTACCCATCTGACAAAGAAGAGTGTTACCTTTCATTGGCGGCCTGAGCAGCAGGTAGCTTTTGAGAAGTTGAGGCATAAATTATGTGAGGCGTTGGTGTTGACCCTTCCCGAGGGTGTTGATGACTTTGTGGTTTATTATGGTGCTTCGATCATAAGGTTGGGATTTGTGCTCATTCAATGAGGTCGGGTGCTTGCTTATGCTTCTAGAAAACTGAATCCTCATGAGGCTAACTATCTGACTCATGACTTAGAGTTGGGGGGGAGTGGTTTTTTCTCTCAATATTTCGCGTCACTATGTGTATGGCGTCCGTTATAACATTTACACGGATCATAAGAGTCTAAGATATATTTTGGATCAGCCAAATTTGAACATGAGGCAACATATATGGCTTGATGTAGTGAAGGAATACAACTATGAGATTCTGTATCACCTATGTAAGGCCAATGTGGTGGTCGGTGCGTTGATTTGCAAGAGGACTAGCGCACCTATTCGAGATCTCTTCTTGAGGACGACTATCGTGACACCACTATTGGATATGATTAAGGGAGCGCAAGTTGAGGTGATCAAGGAAGAGAATCGAAAAAGTGATAAAATATTTGGTCAAGTTTCAACATTGGATATCGACAGTCGAAGTTCATCGACTCTGCATGGTAGAGTTTGGGTTCTATATTCAGTGTGGGCCCGACATACATTGATGGATGAGGCTCATAAATCGAAGTTTTCGACTCATCCTGATGCCATGAAGATGTATAGAGACTTGCTACACGACTATTGGTGGCCTTGAATGAAGCGAGACATGGATTGGCACGTCAAGAGGTGCTTGACTTACCGGAAAGTCAAGGTCCAACACTAGAGACCTCATGGCAAGTTGCAGCCTTTGGAGATCTCATTATGAAAATGGGAGAAGAGCACCATGGATTTTATCACAAAGCTACAAAACTATGCTAGGGGATTTGATACCATATTGGTTATTGTGGATCGACTGGCCAAGAGTGCTCACGTCGTTTCTAATTTAGGAGAGTTCTTTAGTTGATAGGTTGGCTGACATATATACTCAAGAAGTGGTTGCTCGACATGGAGTGTCGACTTTCGTGGTTTTTGACAGAGACGTTCGCTTCACTTCCAGGTTTTAGAAGAGATTGCACGATGATTTGGGTACTCGGTTATACTTTAGCACAACTTATCATCTGCAGACTAATGTCCAATGTAAGAGAACTATTCAGACTTTGGAGGATATGTAGCGAGTGTGTTTCCTTGATTTTCGTGGGAGTTGGGATTCATACCTTATGTTGGTGGAGTTCTCTTACAACAACAACTATCACTCCAGTATTGATATGCCTCCCTTCAAATTGTATTATGGAAGGAAGTGTCGGACTCTGATTTGTTGGGGTGAAGTTGGAAAAAGATTTATGGAAAGCACCGAGTCTATTCTCAAGCCTACTAAGTTGATTCAGCAGGTACGCGAGAGGCTGCATACTGTGCAAAGTCGACAAAAGAATTATGCAGATCGACATCTATCCGATCTTGAGTTTTAGGTTGAAAATTTCGTGCTTCTGAAGGTGTCACCATGGAAGGGCGTCATCCGATTCCGAAAGCAGTGAAAACTGGGCCCCAGGTTCATTGGATCATTCAAAGTGTTAGCTTGGGTGGGTAAGGTTGCCTACCGATTGGATCTACCTGAGGAGCTCAGCCAGATCCACAACACTTTCCATGTTTCACAACCATGGAAGTGTTTAGCAGATGAGTCTGTAGTAGTGCATTTAAATGATATTTAGGTGGACGAGCGCGTGAACTATGTGGAGAGACCGATTGTAATCTTAGATCGTAAGATGAAGACCTTGCACAACAAGGTAGTGGGATTGGTGAAGGTATAATGGCAGCATCGGAAGGTTGGTTCTGAATGGAATTGAGAACCTAATGAGGAGATGCGTGAGCACTATCCCGAGCTTTTTACGACAACGAATTTCGAGGACAAAATCTAATATAAATGGAAGAGAACTGAAACATACGTTTCTTGGGTATAATCCATTTGGCATTTAACTTATTCAAGTATGGGATTGAGGGTTTTCTTCGGATCGTGGTGAAACATTATTTTTGGCGGCGTGGTACATGTCATTAAGTAGCGACGCGGTCAAGTATAGATTGCGACGCGGAGGCGACTTACATTCAAAACCCTAGGTCTCGAATTTTGTACCCTATTAAAGGGATGTGATGTTTAGGGTTTGCTCATCTTATCCACCCCTTTATCTCAGAATGAAACCATATTCCCCTTGTGCTCTTTGGTGATACTTGGTGCTTTTGGAGGATCTTAAAGGAGAAAGAAGCTCATGGTGCTTGAATTTGTGTGCTCCAACTGAAGTTGCAACCTTCTAGACCTTGTCATGCATAGATCTAGGCTTGGGAAGAAATTTTGGTCCCTTTTGGTTTTTTTCGTTGATGTTCTTAGAGTTTGGGGAACTCCAAAACCATATTCTTGTCCTTGGATGACTTCTGGATTTGTTGAGAGTTTGATAAGTGCATATTTTGAGCTCCTTTATGGGCATGCAATGGTTTTAATTTATTTTTGTAACATTTATTAGTTAGGGTTTACGTTTAGGGGTTGGGTTGGTTGGGAAATGAATAAAGTCACGAACATTATCCATTAAGTCCCTTAGTCAATTCAGATCAAAAGATTTGAGCTTTAAACGTTAAGGGTTAACAACTTAATGGATTAAGTTGTTAGGACGTCAAACGCGACGCAAGTTATTGGGGGACCACGACACGGGCCGCAAAGGCCAATCACGACTCTTTTGGCATTTTGTGACCGCGGAGAGGTCTATGAGTTGACCGCGATGAGGTGGTCGTTGATTGTTGACTTTTATCGTTAATCGTCGAAATTTTGACCAGTTTCATTGTACTTAGATATTTCAATATGTCTCTTGGTATGTTACGATGCGATTATGCTTTTAGATAAATAGACTAGTTAATTAGTTGCTTGTTCTGTTGAGTTGTTTGTTATCTATTAAATATACTAGTTACGTTCAAGGCCCGTGCTAAGCACGACCCACAAAAGGTAGTTTTGGTATTTCCTTCCATTGTAAAAATTTTGAACAAACACAGCCACAAGGTAATTTGGGTATTTCCTTCCATTGTGTGATAGAACATGTTCCAAAAGTATTAATATTGTAATATGATGTTATAAAGGAAAAAAAAGTTAATGATATAATACATAAAAAAATGAAAGTACATTGTTATTTCTTCCACTTAGCCCAAAGATCTGAAAGTTTATTTTATGTTTCTCCCAGATGCTTTAGCCTGCATAGTTTTCGGGTCCTGGTGTAGAAGCTTTGTTATGGTAGCTATTGACATTGAAAAGTGCAAAGAAAACCAAATTAAGCCATATCATGCATATAAGAATTATCCAAACAAACAATTAAACCAAAGGAACGGAAAATATATTTCACTTTACTATATTTCAAGAATGAGTTGCTGACCCACCTTAAGAAGCTCAATTACAAGCTCATCATTTTCATTTACTTCATTGTTTTCTCGGAAAAAAAATTACTACCAAATATTAACCTTGTAGGATTCTTAACAATCCGAGAGCACCAAGAAGGTCACAGTCCGACCATTGAACAAAGAAAAGCAAAAATGTGAGGTTGCGATATAAGACATTACCATGGGTATGTTTTCCCCATCATTCTCCCTAAGTAAAACGAAAGTTATGCAAAAAATTCAAAATTCAAGAAAACATAACATAACTTAAGCCAAAGGGCTCTTCAGTTATTTAACATTTACATTGCGTGGGTGTAATTTTAAACATGGGACCTAACAAAATGAAGAATAACAAAAAAAGATACTACAATAAAAAAATATAACTACTTATATACAAACGCATACTCCCTTTTCGAAGAAATTTCATTATCAATTAAGTTCAAAGTTCAAACTAAAATATATTTCATATTGATAACAATGACAAAAAACATAGAGAGATAGTTAACTTGTTAGCCAACGAAAAAGATAAAAAAAAGATGAAGAATCTAATATACCTTACCTATAATTTCACCATCAAATTTTGTAAAATCAATCTGCATCATAAGGAAAACTATCATGTTATTCTTTTCATCAAATTTTGTAAAATCAATCTGCATCATAAGCACTTCAAGTTCTGGTTCAGTAGAAATATTTGATCAATATTTGATCAGGATCAATTAACAAAAAAAATTATGATTATAATTTTCATTAAGAAAAAAATTGTATTATACTTAAATGCAAGTATCAACTAATTATTTGGTTGTTCTACTGTTTTAATGCTTTACCTGCTACAAAATCCGATTTAATTTTCTTTTTGGAAAATTTCTTGCAATTTAAAAATCAAAAGTAGTTACAAAACAAACCTTCTTAAAGATTGGGTACTCTATTTTTTTGAAACAGATGCAAGCGAAATGTAATATATACACAAATCAAAAACATGGCAACATGAGAAAAGAATTGCACATTCAAGGGCATTTCAAACTTTGATTTTTTTAATATTAAGATAAATTGTTGGTTTGCAATCACTCCATAAGCACAACATTAAAAGTTGTAAAAATATATGGTAAGACAGATGCATTTAAGTATCTTATGAAAAACAAAAATAGCAACATAGTTTACTGTTTGGCTGATATAGACAAAAGAAAATGATGGACAACAATGGACAGCGAAATCAATTTGTCTGAGAATTTAGTTTTTTGTACAAAGTATGTCATGTATTTTTTTCAAAATAGGATGAAACATGCAGCAAATTAACATAGTTTTTAAGGATTATGTATATAATTCATGTGTCCTAAAATTAAAAGAAAGTATCTCTAACGTTTAGAAGTATTGGACAACAATAAATGAATTGTTGTTCATGAAAAAAGAAAACATGGATCAACTTGCTAGATTTTTGGGTTTTGGAATGGATTATGTTGTTGTTCAAAAAAAATACATACAACATAAACATGCGTTGCCCTAGCTTTTGCACAAAAGTGGGACAATATTTTTGTCCCCACACCTCAGATTAATACATCCATTTTTTATGTCCAAAAAATATTAGGTTAAATGCATGAATAGCAATGTACTTCCATTTATTCGTATATCACATTCAAAGTAGTCTAATTCTATATTGTTTGTGCAACCAACTGTTCAATTTATTTATTGCTTACGTGTTATACCTTTACAATATTTGAAAGCAAATAAGAAAAAGCAACTGAAGAACCATATAGGATTACTTCTTGTCCTTCTTACGTGCTGTCAAAACCGTTTCAAAGGAATTTCATCTACCCTTTTTATACCCTTAACAAGAAAACGAAAAAAAATTGCAATCAGGGGATTTTTTTGAAAACATACAAAACTCTCAGCAATCTATTTCCTCCTGTAGCATTCGGTAATGATACTTAGAATTGAAAAAGATTTATTTGGCAAAAGAAGATATTTAAATTAGAAACTGGAACAACAATGTTTATTTCCTGAACGAAAATCGAGTTTGCAAGATTGGAGAAAAGGGACAAGTCCGAATAGATTTCAACGGGGCAAAAAATTCCATCGATTGGATTAACGGTAACAAGTAAAAAAAACTTGAAAACAAATTAGGGTTCATGTAAATAACATACCAGTGGAGAAGATGATCACGACAGTAGGAATAGTTTTGTCGTTCTTCTTTGATTCCGCATTCAAAACATTTGCGGTCAACAAATGGCGAATTTTTTGTTGGTCGCAAAATCAGGCTTTTACGTTTTTTGGGGAGATATGTTAGGCCTTTTATTGGAGATGAACCGGTAAGTGTGATTGGAAAGATCGAGAATCGATGGGTACTTCGATTTGCAAATGGGAAGACGTTCAATGGATGCGTCGATCGGAAAGAGGATGTAATCGGCATTTTGGTATATTGAGTCGTTCGGATAATAGGTTACGTTGCAGTGTTGGAACCCTATTAATTTATTCTAGACGACATGAGAAAAATAACATTTTTATATATAATAATGAGATGTCGACATATCTTGTGGCGAGTTAAGGGCTGTCCAATTTTGTGTTGAAGGCCAAAATACTCAGGATGGACGAGCTTCATGCTAGAGGCTAGGGGCAGACTAGTTTTATGTTGAAGGCAAAAGGGACAGAGCAACTTTAAGTTGAAGGCAAAAGGGGCGGATTAATCAGGCTGAAGGCCAATGTTTGTATGCTTTCATGTAATATGTTGTTTATGGTATTTTGGAGAACTTACTAAACATTGGCTTACAGTTGTGGATTAAATGTTTCAGGTACTTCAGATGATCGTGGGAAGACGAATGCGTAACTGTACATATTCATCAACAACTTTTGTATTTTATGATTTCACGTTTATTTTATCACACTCTGATTTTGAGATTTTGTCTTTTGGGAACAAATGATTTATTGATATTGGTTTATGAAAATAACATTTTACCTTATTTAAAAATTAAAAAATTGGGACAATACAAAAATAGCACATATATTTTGGTTTATTAACAAAAAACCATCATTAATATTTTTTTACAATTTAACTATCAAAACTTGTTATTGTATGTGGTTATCTGAAAATGAAGCTCAATTGCAAATAATAGTCATTTCAATGGTTAAAAAAAAGTATGACTTTTTTGTTAATAGAGTAAAAGAGATTTTTATGCAGATTTCCTTAAAACTGTCATTATATATTTGTTTATTTAATTTTTCTTTTGCCAAAGAATGGAAAGATTAGACTTATTTTCTTCATTGCAGTAGTACTTAATAAAACGTTGAAATACCCAAACATAAGTCGCTTAAAATATAAATAAAAGCACGAGTACTAGTTAACCATCGTTCATCCAAGTGCGAGTAGATTTGAAGCAAATACCATGATGATAAAATTTCTCAAGGCAATGACAAATATTTTACGTAAAGTGGGTGAAGATTGGATTCATAAAAAAGACTAGTGACTTTTATCATCGGGTCTCTATCCACTTTTCTTTTGTTTGTTGGAACTTAATTGTCATTCCTGAGTATTCAAACTCATATCTCACATGATCATATTTCAATTAACCATCTTCTATTGCAATTACTAAAAATTCTACTCGATAAGTCATATATCATTGTTTTATTAGCAACTTATTTTGAACAGATATAGAATATGCCTTACTTAAATCATTAGAGCTTTAGAGTTTTGTGTTATTTATTGAGTTATCTTTAATAAAATAGTTGATAACTAAAAAGTTAGCCCGTAGTTTATAAACTAACCGATAAAAAATACTAGCATTTAGTAAAAAAAAAAATAGCTAATAAGTTAATTAGCAAGTATAAAATGACAGCATATGTGTTTATTATAATTAATAAAAAAGTAAATTACAGTTTTGGTCCTTGTGGTTTGGTTAAATTCGTACATTCAGTCCAACCTTCGAAAATTTGACAAGATGCACCATGTGGTTTAAGGAAATTGCATTGGACATCCTCAATCCATTTAAAAAAACTATTTTACCCTTACTTTTATATATTTCTTTTTCTTTTATATATATATATATATATATATATATATATATATATATATATACTTTATTCGAATATATTTTTAACTTTTTTTTATATTTTGTTCGTTTATATTTTTTTGACGTTCTATTTGAATAATTTTTCTAGATTTTTTTTTTTTTGATATTTTGCTCGAATATATCTTTTAATGTTTTTTTTGATCTTTTGTTTTTTTTATATATTTGTAAAGCTTTTTATAAATATTTTTTGTATACAAAATATAAAAAGGTTAGTTAAATGAGAATATAATTAACACATATTACGTATATAATTATTTATTTTAATAGGGTAATTGTATAGGCTAACCGAAATTCAAAACGAGTGTAAATGACTTCGAATTCAATTTTTTAGTTTTATAATTTTTTTTTTACATTTCATTCCGAATGGAAAATGCTAATCAGAATTCACATAACTCAAACACATATGTCAATGTTTTCGAGTTCATTTTTTTTATTTTAAGAAATTTTGTTCGTTTTCGAGTTATATGGTTTTCCAATTAGCTTTTATATAAACTGAAACTCTTTTTCGTATTTCAGTCAGCATATCTATAATCTTATTAAAAATATAATTTTATACCTAATATAATTTAATAATATTCACGTTTAACGAACTTTTTTTATTACATTTTTTACAAAAACTATAAACAAACAAAACGTCAAAAAAAAATTAAAATGTATTAAAACAACACGCCAAAAAAACTAAAAAAAAATTATTCAAAAAAACATCATAAAAATATAAATGAAAAAAATTAAAAAAAATTAAACAGTATATTCAAACACCACACCAAAAAAATGTTTTTTTGCATTTTTCTCGTTTATATTTTTATGATGCTTTTTTGAATATATATATATATATATATATATATATATATATATATATATATATATATATATATATATAGTTTATTGACGTGTTGTTTGAATACATTTTAATTTTTTGATGTTTTATTTGCTTATATTTTTTGTAAAAAATGTAATAAAAATTTTGTTAAATGTGAATATTATTAAATTAGATTAGGTATAAAATTATATTTTTAATAAGATTATTAGATAGGCTCACTGAAATATGAAAAAGGGTTTCAGTTTATATAAAGGGCAACTGGAAAACCATATAACTCAAAAACAAACACAATTTCTAAAAATTAAAAAAAAAATGAACTCGAAAATATTGACATATGTGTTTGATTTATACGAAGGTCAAAGCTCCGGCGATTTCGAAGACGTCACGCCTGCTGCCTTCGGACTGCCGCCTCCGGCCCTTCTTCTTCGGCGGGTGCAAACGCCGGCAGGGCTGAAGATCTTCTCTTCACTGTTCTGTTTATTCTGCATAAAAAATAATCGAATCACAGAGGTATTAAGTCAAATTGAAAAATCGGGAACCCTCCGGCGATTTTGGAGACGTTACGACTGTCGCATTCGGCCCTTCTTCTCCGGCGGGTGCATACGTCGGCAGGGCAGAAGGTTTTCTTTTCTCTGCTCTGAGTATTCCTTAATCGTGTGTGTGATCAGCGAAATATCTATGTACTGCTTGGAATCGTTTTTTGGCTTCTCTGGTATGGATCGTTGGAATCATTCAGATTCTTATAGTAATGATCGATATCATTTTCCTCAAAAGAAGGTGTCACAACATATCAAGGTTACCCAGAATTCTCAATCTAATCCCTCTGATTCTTCATTCTTTGTTACAAACTTTCCTGATTACATTATTCCCGCTGATCTGAGACGAGCTTGTGACCGAATTGGTCATGTTACGGATGTTTTTATCTCTAAAAGGAGAACAAATATGGGTAAAAGATTCGGATTTGTTAGATTTTTGGGACATTGCAATAATGATGTGGTGATTAAAAAGCTCTGTGATGTATGATTTGGATATCATAAATTGTATGCTTCTCTTCCTAAGGTTACTAAGACCAAAATTGTTGTAACCCAAAACCGAGAGGTCACGAATCGTACTGATAGACAGGTTTCTCCGGTCAATTCGCATGCTAGTGTAGTTAGAGGTTCTTCTAATGCACATTGTGATAAACCTCATCTTGATGAGATTTTGATTATTCCATGTGGGGATTTTTTAGTTGAGAAGAGAAAGCGGGCATGCCTAGTTAAAGTTAGGGATTATTCTACTTTGCCAAATATTCGTATGCTCTGTTTTGATGAAGGATTTGATGATTTTACAGTGAGATATGTTGGTGGTCTTTGGGTAATGTTAGAATTCAAAGGTAGGGATATATGTCATAATTTCTTGAATTATGAAGGGCTGAGTCATTGGATTGTGGAAAAAAGACATTGGGATAGGAATTTTGTTCCTTTGGAAAGACTTGTCTGGGTGGATGTTGAGGGTGTTCCTCTTCGTGCTTGGAGCAAAGATGCGTTTAGAAAGATTATTGCTAAATGGGGGTCTATTGCTCATCTTGATGAAGATCTCGGTGAATATGTCTACAAAAATCGTCTTTGCATTTTAACTTCTTACCAAGGTATTATTTCGGAGGAGGTGTCGATACGGGTTAATGATATTATATTTACGGTTCGGATTAAAGAAGCACCGGGTTGGTTACCTTCATTTTCATCGGATTTTCCAAAAACAACTTATGAAAATCGTGATGCTCAAGGCCAGTTTGAAGAAGATGAGAGTTTACATTATAAGGATGATAATGATGTTCATTCACACGACCCATTTGGTTTATATGAAACTTTGGAGAACATGCAAAAGGACGAGGAAAGGAACAAGAAGGAACTTAAGCCATGCGGGGGTAATTCTGGTAATGATGTGGTTGATGGTCATGTGGATTTACAAGGGCACATGGGCAAAGAAATTGGGCATAATTTTTCTACTAATGAGCCACTTATGGGATATCTTGACACGGCATCCTCTTCTGTACGCGTTTCAGATGCGGGGCATCCTCCACTGGTGAATCTAAATACCGAAACTGCTATGGGGACTGCCCAAAGTCCGTTGATAGCCCCTGTTTTTTATGCTGTCTATATTACTACAGAAATAGCGAGGGTTGTTCCTCCTGTTTCTGTCCCTGGCGCTGTCGATGCTGATTCCAGTCAACATTTTAGGGACGGTGTAACGCCCCGATTCTCAGGTATTGTTTAAATAAGAATTTAATTGGTTTCAAGGCCTACTCGACGAGTTGGTTGCCATACTCTTCGAGTAGCAGCGGGTTGGTTCGCGTATTTAGTGGCCTACTCGCCGAGTCCATGAAGGGACTCGACGAGTAGGAGCTGGCAGATGAAACCCTAAATCCCGGGGTTGTGCACCCTATTTAAGGAAGCATAAGCCTCCTTTGGCCTCTTTGCAGTCCTTTGAGAGCTCAGAAAACCCTAATTCGTGTGGTGCTTCATTCTTGTGTGTCTAAAGCTTTGGAGAGGAGATCTTTTGAGAAGAAGAGCTTGGAGAACAAAAGGATAGGAGCAAGGAAGTGTGGGAAATCTGAAATCTACCTCAGAT